GGTGGCATTACGGCCAATAGCAGCAGTAAGCTAATACGTACTCCGTATGCCTATCTCACATCCGAAGCCTGAGTCAAACCTATATGAAAAAAAAAAAAAAAGAGTCAACAAATCGGAACCCCCTATATCCGCAAAGATACCTAGGCAGGCTTATTAGAACTCGCTAAGTTCCTCGTGAGTATAAATCTAACCTACACGATGATTCCGTACTTTCTCCAGACCAAAGGTACATCTGCCTTGCGGATGCAACCCGAAATCCTATTTCACGATGCTCGTAGAAAACGAGAAAAATGAGACCCGCCCTCCAAACAACACTACCAATTCTGCTCCGGTCGTCGCAGAGCCGCACAGCATTTTTGACAAGCGTCAGAAAGCCCTGATAACGTTTCTCGCTGCCACCGCTGCGACGTGTAAGTGATCCTAGCACCAGGTAGGTCCCAAATCGTCACTAACGAAACAGTCTCTGGTTTCGCATCCAATATTTACTTCCCTTCGCTTCCGACCATCTCTGAAGATCTGGGCGTTTCCATCGAGCTCGTCAATCTTACCATAACATCATATCTGATATTTCAAGGCCTCGCACCTAGTCTCTGGGGGCCGCTGTCGGATGTCAAGGGACGTCGCCTCACGTATTTCTGTACCTTCCTGGTGTTCTTAGGTGCTTGTATAGGACTAGCTGAGACCCCGAACTATGCTACTCTTATTGTGCTACGAAGCCTGCAGAGCTCTGGCAGCGCGAGCACCGTCGCCGTTGGGTCGGCAGTTATTGGTGACATCACCACTCGTGAAGAGCGCGGCGGGTATATGGGCGTCTTCCAAGGTGGACTGCTTGCGCCGGTGGCAGTAGGACCAGTTATTGGCGGTGCTTTAGCCGCTGCTTTAGGATGGCGAGCCATATTCTGGTTTCTCGCAATTTACAGCGGCGTATTTCTATTGGTACTCATCGTGTCGTTACCGGAGACGCTTCGATCGGCTGTCGGGAATGGAAGTGTGAACTCGTCGAACCCAATCGCCAAATATCCCCTGGCCTTGTATCAGAGGACAACCAGGACAAAGTTCAATCCGTCAGTCCAGCCGGCTGAGGCTGCGAAGAAGGCCAGGATCGATGTCACCGGACCAATTCGCATACTCTTCAGCAAGCAAGCGGCGCCAGTGGTTCTCTTCATCGCTCTGTATTACGCGGTGTGGCAAATGAGCATCACGGCGGTGTCTGTGCTTTTTGCTGACCTCTACGGCCTTAGTGAGACGCAGATTGGGTTGACTTTCATCGCCAACGGCGCAGGATCAATCAGTGGCACCCTCGTCACCGGCAGGATACTGGATATAGACTACAGACGAGTCAAAATCAAGCATGAAGGCGCCTTGTCCCAAAGTGGATCAGAAACGGAAACCGAGCAGTCAGAGCATGAGGATGTTAATTTTCCTCTCGAGACAGCTCGGTTCCGCCTTCTTCCCATCCTCGCTCTGCTCCAGTGCGCATCCATCCTCACCTTCGGCTGGACTATCCGGTATCAAGTCCACATCGCTGTACCCATCGTGACCACATTCATCACCGGCTGGACGGCGGTTTCTATAGTCTCGATCATTACGACATATCTGATAGACGTGTTCCCAGAGAGCAAGGCCGCGTCAAGCGCGAGCGTGAATTTCGCGAGATGCCTTCTCGCGGCTGGAGGCACTAGCATCGTGACGCTTATCATCGACGCAGTAGGCGTAGGGTGGACATTTACTATTGCTGTCGGCGTACAGCTTGTCGCCCTGCTGGGTCTGGCCATACAATGGCGCTTTGGCGGTAGGTGGAGAGTGGAAGCTGCAAAGGCTAGAGCCCACGCGGACCAACAAAAGGAGTAGGTAGGTGACTTACTACTTAGATCACTTATAGTTTATAGATCGGGAGAGAAAGGGAGCATATTTGATCATACACATAAAATAACGCGTGTGACACCTGGACAAAGCGGCTAGATCATAAGCCACAGGTGCTTCGCTGAGAGCCACCAACACTTGTATGATTCTCTCTTATTATTCAATACGTTGATTGGCGACCGAGATAAGTCAGAATACGGCCCAAACGCCGCACTTCATTGGTATCGCAGATGTTGTTCAACAATGGTATCTCATAGTATCAACCCACACTCCAGAGAATAGTATACAGTCTCGCTTAACAGCTCTCAACACAAACGTCTGATATCACAATTCGGGGTCGTAAAGTTGTGCTTCTATTGCGAGGGTCATCCACGTTATTGTTCACACCCTTTTGGGGATCCTTCCTGGGGTTGATTTGCGAGGGACTGGACAACGCAAGGCTACCAACCCTCGGAGTTGTCGACGTAAGGTACAAACACACCAGAATCGACTTGTCCCGAGACTCCTTGCTGTGCATTCTTCTGAGTTCGAGAGGCTCTTCGGGGATCTGAGGAACTCTTCCAAGTATCGGTGATGATGTTGTCATCTTGAAAAATGAGTTTGGTGTCACCCTTCTTGGGGACTATCTCGTGGCGGGCGACTCCAGCGGTATCGCATTTACTGTCGGATCTGGCCTTCTCGTCTCCAGTGCGAGGATCTTCCACATAAGATTTCCACGCTTTTGCCTTACCAGCGTACGAGCCGGGTAGCTTCTCTTCTTTAAGGACAGTCTTTTTGCCGTTGATCTGGCCTTCATATCCCAATCCAATAGGAGGCTCATTAAGTCCGTAGGCGTTGCGCACAGTATTTGCATCAAGAGGTCGTGGGATGCCTGACCCGTCGGGACCAAGGCCATTCTGCTGCCCCCAACCTTGCTTGCTCATCAGTCTGAACCCAAATGGATATTGCGACTTCAAGTCGGTTCCATCATCCGAACTGACAGCCCCATGAAAGTTTGGGCCTTCAAGGATACATTTCTCGCCCCCACGTACGAAACTATCGGGAGTGGCAGAGCGGGCAATGCTGGGACTGTCAGGAGCTGGGCAAGCCTCGTTTACGCCACCCGTCGCGAGATCTTTGCCTGTCGAAGCGACGGCCCCTTCGTCTTCAGCGTGCGGCTCAACGGCGTGACCGGCGGAACCATTTTGCTCGAAGTGCCCGTTCGTAATCGTGTTGGACACAGCCGTTTGCTTAGAATGTCCATTTTCACCGCGCAATGGCAGATTCTCTGATGGCGCATCACCGCCACCCCAATCTCGTCTCAACTGCTCAACTGCTGTTAAAGAAGACGAAGTCAGTATATGCCAACAGAATAACAAGAAAGGTTTACATAGCCTCATGGGTATATAGGAATGGAAGCGCTCGGAGTGCCTCGAAAGACGGACAAAAACCACTGGCAATACGTACTTCGGCATATGACGGACTGCTGTTCCTCGTCCAGATTGATCTGCTTAGAAATATAAAGAGTGGCCTGTTTAGATTAGCTCCAGTCCTAGACATTCGGAGTAAATACCACCTAGATACGCAAAGTTATCTCATACAATGCAGAACAGGTGGTAAGCCAGATGCTTGTGGTTGGCATCAGCTGTGGCAACGTGGAGAAACTGTCCCAGTGAATCCTTCAGATGCTGGGGCCAGCCAACAGAAGCTAGGAGCTTCTCGATGACTTCATTGCGGAAGTCAAGGTCCGCTTCGTGTAGAGAGGAATCCTTTGCCATGGCTGCGTATATATCCTGGGAAGGCTAGGAAGAAAGGAGGATTATCCACACGACAGCAAGGTCTCGAGTCCGTGATAACGATAAAGGCAGAGCGTGGATGAGGAAATCTGGAGTGACAGATTGGCTAGTGGGATAAGTCAAATCCAGTCGGCGCAAGAGACCAAACAAAATTGAGGTGTCACATGAGGAAAGGACAAGAGTGGAAGGCGCACCTTCGACGTTTGCTTGCATGTCATCGACATGTACACATGTAGGTACCTCAGGGAGATACTTGAATAAAGCACACATAGGTACACATATTGAGGCGCCAGCTGAAATATCTATTTTAACAAAATGGGTTTCACAGAACAACCTGCAGATTCACACATTCAGTGCTTGTATATAGGTAGCAACAGGCAGCCCGTGAGCCTACCTCATAGGTACCTGGAACCCTATTTATCGTGATGCTTAAAACTAAGTATGTTGAGGTCCTGGATAAGATACCGGGAATGTGCTCAAGCATCAAGGGATATCAACTTGGAGTGAGGTGCGGCCAACGAGCCCCCGAAGAGCCGTGAAGCAACAAACAAGCCACGTAGAGAATACTACTATTCATGCTTTAAGGAATACAACGCAAGCCCAACAGAGTTAACGCAGGATACTTAAGTACATAACCTAATTGGCAGCTTGGCTAACATTGTATCTCGGACAATAGGCTAAGTAAGCCATGTCTATTGGTGGGAGCTCATTAGATCTAGAAGTACAGCTGCAACAGGGGCACCATTTCTCCTGAACTCACAAGAGAGTCACTGCCCTCCGGGTTCTATCACAGAACATAGCTGCAACACCGAGTCACAGTGTTATCAAGATTATATAATCTAAGTAAGCAGAATGCAGTCAAATTAGACGCTTAGGGTTTCGATGCTACGATTCGCGCAGTGAAGTGAGTGAGTGAGTCCTGCGGGTTTTGCCCCCAACAGGCACCCGCGCCGTGAGGAGATAGGTTTGACCCAGACTCAAGGTACCCAGATAGTTAGTTCACTGAGCAGTTAATGGAACAGGGGACTGGTAGATAGAAGGGAACATAAAAGTCGATTTAATTAGACAAATCATGCACAGATCCTGTTCTCGCTACTTTGTCTAATTATCTTGGGTGCCGGTGAACCCGTTTAACACATTACTTAGTACCCCTAGAATACTTTCTTTTATCCTGTTAATGCATTACTATAATGCTAACTAACTCTTTGCTTAGTTTTCTTAGTGAAAAACAGTTTATATTAGAAATAAACTCCCTTGGGTTTTATTTAGCTTTACACTATTGTGACCTTACTCTATCCCCTCTACTTCGAGTTGATAACGTTGTAGACACACTTCACAAAGCATCGAGGTCAAGATTGTCATGTTTCTGTGGCCTAGTGGTTAGGGCGTCTGTCTTACAGCAGTGGTGGATCGTATTGGGAAAGTCCCTTCATTTGATCTTGCCAACAGCGGCATCACAGAAGATCGCCGGTTCAATCCCGGCCAGGAACAATAATTGTTTTGCTTTTTGCCGAGTTCTATTTTGACCCCCCGCAGGGTCAGAGGTTAGAATTAGCAACTTCTAGGGATCAAGGGGGGATGTAGTAGCTATTTACAGCGCACCTGTAGAAGAATATGGGCAGCTAGTAAAACCCCTGTAATTTCAGCAACAGCAGCACCGATCAAGGTAAGTTGATAAACTTTAAGCAACATTACACACTCGGCACGAAATGCTCTGCTGACTTATTATGGCGGAGCCAGTTCTTCTCATCTTTTTCATCTCTATCGTTTGCGTTGGCTGAGGTCTATTCCGTTCCGTCCTTTTATAAGTTCACCAACTAGTCGAAGTACACAAGGCCTGTCCGGGTCTACTTAGTATGTCTGAGAGGGCACCATACCAGATGTGTTTTGATTTAACATTAGAGAGCGACACTCCACGAGGGTGGCATAAACGGTGGCGCTCAAAGCCTGCTCGCTGCACTCGGTGTTCTCCACTTCAAGAATACGAACATGTTCGAGAGGCCATGGCTCGTCGACTCTTCTCGCTTTCTTTGAACCCCCGGACCCGCGCCTCGCTTTGCCAATGCTGGAGAGCTGTTATTCAAAGCAAAATAGCCCCCGATATGACGATTCAATTTCTGGATCCTCAACCCTGAAGACTTCATCGTCGGTACGAAGACATGATTGCGGAGCGATACAGTCAGTGGCTTTTCAGCGATTACCACGTATGTATCTTCACCGTCGCAAAATGGTGCAAGCCCTGGAAAAGGTGCCAATTGTTTGGCCTGAACCCGTCTTGCATGCACAAATGGTGGCTAAGCATTGTCCTATGCGGGATTCGCTCGGAACGGGGTAGTGTAGTGAGTGGACTTGATCAGCACCTCCAATCTTACCGATCAGGGATTAAAACCGGGCCAGGCATACGTGATCCCCTGGATCTTATTGCTCCGATGTTTTACAAGTCTAAACTGCTTTCACTCAAATCCTTTCGAACAAGAATCACGACAGGTATGAGTATATACCACTCTGAGCGTTTGACGCCAGTACACGTTTGGGAGTTCTCGTCTAGCCGGTCTTTCGCATGATTTCCGCTTCGGCACGTTTTCGTTGGAGATAGGTAGCACCTACAAGCGTGCTACGCAGGTCGTTGCATCGCCCAGGCTTGCAATCGTCACATCATGGCATGGTTTGGCTCTTCATCAGCGGGAAACAGGCGCTCCGGCCCTGAAGAGAAGCGCCGGTCTGGCGACTATGTCCGCGACCGAGAAGAAGAAGCCTCGGGCTCTTACAACAGGCTAGGTAGAGATAACATAAGATGTCTCGATGGACTGCGCGGCATCGCGTGCCTCCTGGTCTTCAACTATCACTTCCTGTGGCCGTGGACACCATCCATCATGTTCGGTTATGGAGCCATATTGCCTCAAGCCCCTGAGCCCTTCCGGGAGTGGTCCTCGCTTCCCATACTATGCCTGTGGCAGCGTGGTCGGCCGATGGTCGCTATATTCTTCGCCATTTCCGGCTATGTCGTCAGTCGGCACGTTTTGAGGCTGATACATCAGAGGCGCTTGGAGGCCGCTTACCAGCGCCTCGCTTCGGCCGTCTTCAGACGCGCCTTTCGTCTCTACATTCCCCCCACCATTAGTATGTTTTTGGTGGCTTTATTGGCCCAGGCGGGGGTTTTCAAATCTGAAAAGGCCATTTATCAAGGCCCCGATTCGGTCTACATCAACGGCACCGTGACCAATGTCACGATCGCCACCCACTGTTACAACAATACTGTCTCCGTCTCCGGAGTGACCGGCTTGGTCGATTACATGGGTTGGCAGAACCCTTTGCCCTTGGGTAATGCCACCGTAGGCCTCTGCATAAACGCCACATCCCAGGATGCCGGCCCTACAAGCGTGTATAACTACGCACATCTCTTTGAGAAAAAATATGCGCGCGTCTTAAACGACACTACCCGGCTGAGAAGATTTCAAAAGCATGCTTATATCCCACCATATAAAGGTCCCGCGCCATTAGATATTGTCAACGGCACGGACATTACCTACGGTGTTCCCGCAACCTGGGTTCAGTATGGAGGCATGTGGGAAGAGCATCCTTTAATACACGATAACATGACCTATGCCCTGCAAAACTTTACCCGGGTCTACGCCGAGTGGGCCAATAGTTTCACCTTTAACCCATATCACCCGCGATACGACCCGCACACGTTTACGATCCCGATGGAACTGCGCGGGTCCATGATCGTCTACATCTTCCTGCTGGGAACGGCAGCGTTAAAAGCAAAGTGGCGGCTCGTGCTAGCGGGGTTCCTCTCCGTCTACAGTTTGGTGTTCGGGCGGTGGGATGTTGCTACTTTCATGGGCGGTACTCTGCTTTCGGACCTGGACGTCGGGCTCTCGTCGCGCCGCGGCGACACGCCTCTACAACCCCCTGTTACGGATGGTGCGCTAAGAAATAGAGTCGCATCACGCCGATCAACTTGCACAGGTATGATGGCACGGTGGATGGCCTTTGTTTTAGCTCTATACCTCCTTTCGTACCCCGACGCCGGCGCCGAGTATACCCCAGGCTTTACATTCCTTGCCTACTTGATTCCAAGATACTACGGAGCTCTCGCGGGCTGGTCGTTTTACCAGGCAGCTGGCGCGTTGATTCTCCTCCCCTGCATCTTACGTAGCCCTCTTCTCTGCCAGGTCTTAGAGAGTCGGGTGCCGCAGTACCTGGGTAAAATCAGCTTCTCGTTCTACCTCATCCACGGACCCGTCTTGCACAGTCTTGGATTCTGGATTATGCCGAGGCTCTTTGAGCGGCTCGGCCGGCAGAATGGTTATATCGTGGGCTACTTCGTCTTGCTGAGCGTAGCGCTGTACCTCTCGAACTGGTGGTGTAAACATATCGACCGCTGGAGCACCACGATTGGGAAGAGGGTGGAACAGATGTTATCAGTCTGATAAGGTGTCATTCAGCTATTTGATAGATGTGTCCAGTCTTGTAACTCTACTTGCGGGACGAGGCTGGTTTCTCTGTCCCTATTGAATTTCGAGTGTAAATGAGCCGGTTGGTGTAGATAGAGTTTCCATTGGAACATCATGCTGTTGCTTCATGACTAGGAATAGAGGGAGGCGACTAGCGGGAGTGTGTGAAAAGTCTGCGGGTCGCTCTATTTCAAAGTTCTCGTCGTCACTAAATTACTACAGCCGTGCTGAGTCTGGCCTCTAGGACGTGCATGGATGGTATAGGAGCACTCGGATCTAGAACACTCACTCTTAGGTACTTCTATACCACCTCTTCGAGAAATTCAAGGCTCCAGTAGAGATTACCGAGTCTCTAGGCAATAAATTGGTCAGACAGGGTGGGGGTGATTCTCGCGACCACTAGCTGATTACACTACCTGCTCTATACTCTTAACCCGAAATTGGCTCGTTCTCGTCACCAACTCACAGATCGCTGCTACCGACCTTCCTCCCATCAGCTCGAAGACGGCCACTTCAGCTGCGAACCCCTTGGCGAGCCAGTTTTGAATTTCCGTGGCCACCAATGAGTCCACTCCGAACACGTGAAGCGGCTGATTTGCCTCAATGTCTTCAGGCTTAACGGAGAGCGCGCGGGCCAACTTCTTCGACGGTGATTCTAACACGATGCCTGCTCGCTCCTCAGCTAACTCAGCTTGCCGGAACAGAGCACCGTAGTTGACACTATCTCCCACTATGCTGCCCTGACCTGTTAACAGGCTGGTATGAACGGCAAATAGAGGCCTTTGCATGAACTCCGGTGGATCCAATCCTTGAGATAGGAGGTCTGCGGGCGTCCTGAGACCCATACTGATTTGACTCGGCCCAGTGTGTGGGCTCTCTGGATCGCAACACAGATTTAGAAAGGCCAGAATCTCGCTCTCACCGAGCGATTGAGCCTCGCGCAAACCGACTGCGAGCTTCTTTTGGAGACTATCGGACTCAGCCACGATACCCACATCACGAATAACTCCCAGATCAATCGACAACGCTCTTTGACCTATGTGAGAGCGGTATTGAGCCAGGGCATCTTGAAACGTGCAACCGGCGGCATAGTTAGACTGCCCAGGATTCCCAATTATACCGGATATTGAGGAATGAAGTATCAAGAAGCTGAGGTTGTTGGGGAGTAGTTCGTGGAGGTTCCATGAGGTCTGAACTTTAGATCGGACTGTTCTCTCCCACTGAGAATAGGTCATATTTTCGAACATGGCATCCTGCGTATTTCTTGTTACCTGATGAGATACACATATTATTCAAGGTTCTTCGTCGCATACATTCAGGGCCATCGCAGCGTTGATACAGCCCTTAATATGAGGCAGAGTCTTGCTACATTCTTCAAGCAGACGGGATAGGTCTTGGGCCACGGAGACATCGCATTGAGGTGTAAACACGATCACGCCTTGTTGAGCCAGCTCCTTCACTACCTGAGCAGCCTCGGGTCTATGGGTGGTTCTCGATCGTGAAGGGACGATTAGATATTTTGTTCCTTTAGCAGCCATCCACTTAAGTATTGAGCTGCCGATTCCCCCAAGGCCACCAGCGACTATGTATGACGCGCTGCTATCAAAGGTCCAAGACTTTGGAGTGACAGACAAATGTTTCTATGATGGGATTAGCCATGTAGACAAGAGCAATGAACTTGACCAAAAATACCTGAACTACAGAATATGCGTCAAGTTCAATAATAACGCGACCGGTATTCTTCCCACTTTGGAAATACCTGAAAGCCTCTTCTAGGTTAGATACCTGAAATAAGTGTAAAGGCTTTGGCGCATGCAGAATGCGCTTGGCTACCAGATCCATAGTCTCGAGCATTAGATCGGCAAGTATGTCTTGTCTGTAAAGCATGATATGACGAGGGTCGACAGCTGCAAAGGTGACGTTATTTGCAAACTGCGCCATGGGGAGTTGTGAGTTTGAATGTATATCGGCCTTTCCAATTTCAACAAAGCGGCCATAGGGAGCCACGCACTCCCAGGAAGCTCGCAGGCC